AGGGGCGCTCGTTGGGCCGGGGCCCGGGGTTCGGGGCTTCTCTTCCCGCAGCAGCGGGTGCCAACGGCCCCAGGCCCGCGGGAAAGGTCTGGGGTCAGCTCAGGAGCCGTTAGCAGAGCGGGGCGGGAATAGGGTCAGCCTGGGCCGGGAGATGCTGGCTGGGTTGTATTAGCCTCCGGTGAGGCCCATCTCCTGGGGGCCCAGCCCCGCTGGAGGCGAACAGGACACCGGGGCTGGAGCCCCGTGGCTCGGGGCCGGCTGCTCTCCAGCTCAGATGCACCCTTGCGGCTCCTGCATTGGGCTCCTCCCGGGAACGGCAGCCCTGGGCTGGGCGAGCTCCAGGGACCGCCCGGAGGAGCCGGTGTGAGGGATCCAGGGTGGAGCTTTCCCCTCGGAGCCGCTGCCTGGGCGCCTTCCCCTCCTCCCGCGGTGCCCCTTTCCCAGGGCCCTGGAAAAGCCAAGGGCTACACACCTGCCCCCTTTGGGCACTGAAGAGACCAGGGCCGAGCGACCGCTCGCCGGCTGTGGGGCCGGGGCAGCATTACGCAGCCCCGCTGCCCGGGAGGGGCGGAAGCCCATGGCTAGAGGTGCCCCGGCCCCAGAGCGGGACATGGGGGGCGCTGCTCGGGGCACAGCGGGGCGGTTTGGCACCGTGATGCGATGGGGCCCGGAGACCTGCGGGCATCGGGAGAGGAGGCCGGGGGGTGGCCCAGGGCTGGGGGGCGCTGCCCTGACATGAGGGCACCGCGCGTCAAGGCCCTGCGCTAAGCGGGGATGTGACGGGGCTGCGGGAGTGTCCCGCCTCTGGCCCTGGCTCCGGGACCGGGATTCCCGGCCGGGCTCCTCCAGGGCCGCGGAGCAGCCGCGATTACCGCAGTGGGTCGTTTCAGCTCCGACGAGGCAGCGAACTTCCTCCCTTCGCCGCCTTTTTCCCCGCGGGGCCGTAAATGTCAAGGGGCGGCCGCCGTCCCGCCCCCCGCTGCGGGCGCTGAGTTCCAGGGGCTGCGAGCCCGGCTCGGGCGCGGGGCCCTAATTAGCCTCCTTGCTCGCGGGTTGGTTCAGGTTCCCGCAGGGGCCGCTTTCCCCGCAAGCCCGAGCCCGACCCTTCCCAGCGAGGGCCCCGAGCCGCTCCACCAGCCCCTCCGCCCGGCAACGCGCCAAAGTCCCCCGCGTCCCCTCCACGCGAGTCCGCGCACCCGCCCCGCTGCTGCCCGGCTCTGCCTAGCGCAGGTGGCTCGTGCGGGACACTGAGCTAAGTCAGTGTCCCGGGTGGGACCTGCTGGGTGCCCCGCCGCACGGTGCTCCTGACGCGGGTGCCCCTCTGCCCACGCAGCGTCCCCCGGGCCTGTCCGAAGCCAGGGGCCGAAGGCCGGAGGGGCCTGTCCCGGCTCAAGGAGGTGGAAGGGAGCAGGACCCTACGTGGTGGCGATCGGAGCCGCTCCGGGCAGCGGGGATGCCCCTGGGAAGCGGCTTGCTGGGCTGGGAGCCGCGGGGAGGCCGGTGCCGCCCACGGGCCGGAGTCAGGGCCCGGCCGCGCAGGGCTGGAGCACGAAGGGGCCACGGCAGAGCGTCAGGCGGCCCCCTTAGCACCACGCCCCCCCCTTGTCTGCCGCTGCCCCCCCCCCCCCATCGCTCAGTTTCTCTCCCAGCCGGCGGGGAGCTGGAGAACTGAGTCTCAGTCCCTGGGGGGGGGGTGTCAGACCGCGCAGGGGGG